GACAGATCTGCCTGAGCCTATATCTGTGTGGACAGCTATCTACTCGGCCCAGACTGATGGGCAGATACTGCGAAACTTCGTTTAGTTGTGCTGAGGAGCGGGAACGCTGCAGATTATACAAATTGGTGGAGGACCATCACCACCAAAGCACAGAAGAAAAACTCAAAACAGCTGCTGGTGTGCCTCTTACTATGGACAACGGCGGCGGCAGACTGATGTAGGCGAGGTAATAACCAGTCTACTTTCAATGATAGACCTATAGTTCAAATAGGATGAAGTCATGTTAAACAAAGGTAGGCCTATCGGAAATACCGATGCCTCCTACAAGGACAGCGGTGGATAAATTGCCAATCTAAAAATTTTAGGCACAAGTGGTAAGACCGGAATGGTTGTTTCTGGCTTATTCCCTGTTGTCGGTCAGGTATACCTTAACCCCAGGCCGGAAGAACCAGAGGTATCATTAGATTCTTATTGTACTTTAAGCCGAGTACTTACCTCACGGCCGTGTATTTTGTTTAGTTTACGTCTACGAAGCGTAAACCCACAGTTGGATAGCCTCACTATATCGGTGGACGCTTAAGGGTTATGGCTAGGACTAAGTGAGATCGAGGGATCTACTCATATCTATATCACATAGCTGAAGAAGTGTCAGTTAAACGGTAGGAGATAGAGGATATTCATAGAGAAACAACTTAACGGACAGTGAATCTCATTTGGACCATCTCGGCACCCACTGGAGAGTAAAGTCATCAACGACAGCAAATGCTCGTGGCAGTGGTGGCTGGAAATCATAGGAGAAATTAAACCTATTGGCAATAAAAGCAGCCTTAGTCACTAGATTGCGGGGTTAAAAAGGACCCACAAGGAGGCTAGTTCAAGTATCCACCGCGCTATGCGGTCTGGCGCAACCTTTGATTCGATTTTTGGAAAAGTTCCATATAGCTGGGAGGCAGTTTAATTAATAGTTTTGGTAAGGCGTCAATATCGACGGCGTTCATAACTTATCATGTAAAGCCCCGGACTAGGAGACGATTCTGTCCT